GTTATGAATGAAATGATCCTTGTTTCCATAAATTTCTGCCGTATTAGTTCTTATTTTTACTACAAGCTTTCGTCTGTTCCTACAGACATCTTCAGGTATAGAATAGATGTTGTTCTTGTTTTTTCTACTAGTAATAAGAGGACAACGAAAATATATGTATTGTTGTATCCGAAAATGCTATTGTTGAAAATGAGTTATTGTTTTTGGAAATATGCAGTAGCAACGCTGAGTTTGATTTTAAATTTTTAAAGGTTGTGCGTTCATATAAATATGGTGATGAACGAATTTTTTACTGGTAAATTTTCTGTCAAAGTGGCATGAACTATATTGTTCAGTAATTACAGTAATGTCAAACTTATTATCCAAAAGTCGCACTTGGATCAGTTATTTAAATTACGATAAACGTGCAATCAATTTACAAATTCATGAATTATTCACACAAAAAAAAATTAAAGGTTAATGATTTAATTGGCGAAAATCCATCATCGCAAACAATTCAAATAATATACAAAAACCTCCGAATCCGTTATGAATGAAATGATCCTTGTTTCTATAAATTTTTTGCAAATAACTCATTTTCAATAGCATTTTCGGATACAACAATACATATATTTTCGTTGTCCTCTTATTACTAAGAGAAAAAAAAGAACAACATCTATTCTATATATGAAGATGTCTGTAGGAACAGACGAAAAGCTTGTAGTAAAAATAAGAACTAATACGGCAGAAATTTATATAAACAAGGATCATTTCATTCATAACGGATTCGGAGGTTTTTATATATTATTTGAATTGTTTGCGATGATGGATTTCTCGCCAATTAAATCATTAACCTTTGCATTTGTTTTTGTGTGAATAATTCATGAATATATATATATATATATATATATATATATATATATATAATATATTTGCATATATTATGATATAAACTATATATTAAAACAATTATAAAAAAAAAAAAAACTATATATTACTAAGTTTAAAAAAAAAAAAAAAAATACTGAATCAAAGAAATGAAATAGCTATTCTTTCCCGATATTTTCAAAAATTTTCCTTAAATAATATTTAAAAATAAAAGAAAATAATTAAAAAAAAATGTAGCTGGTAATACACATATTTATATTTGATATGTAATAATGATTTTTAAATAATTTAAGTGATTCTATTACATTTATTTGTTTTAAAATAAATATAGTCTATTTATTTATAATTAAAAAAAAATATTTTAAAATTGTAGTCCAATAACGTATTCTAACCCAAAACACTTTTTAGAAAGACTATTTATGTATACAAGTACGGATTTAATGGAAAACATGCCGAAAAACAATGTATATAAAACAACTAAAAAGTTGCAAATTAAAAAAAAATGATAATGTTTTTTTATGAAAGTATTTATTTATATTTGATATTTCAGATCATATTTTCAATCTTTAATATTCAGAAATAACTGTTTTCAGAGGTTTGTTTATCTATAAGTAGCGTCCGTCGCGAGATATACGTCACGGATATGGAACGCCACTGTGTTCGAATTATTTTTTCACATAAATCTAACTGTAATAATATTTTAGATGTTGTTTAAATTTTTTTTTTTAACTCTATTTCATATATTTATATATATATAACATGTGCATACCTTCTACAAAACTGTATATCTTGTTTCAACTTTACAATTTTTTACGTTTCATCAGGTGGGAAATCACGATAATATAACATTTTTTAACGTTGAACCAAATGTACAGTCTTGTACTCAGTATGTAGATGTTCTAATGTAACAGTGCATAATAAATATATATTTATTGCTCGACATTTGTGTTGGGCCCTGTTTTAAATTAATGTTTTTAACGCTGATATATATATATATTCTTTATATATATATATATATATATATATATATATATATATATATATATATATATATATATATATATATATAAAAATGTAACAAAAAATTAACCATCCCACAAAATGTTTAATATCTCAAAACCACTAAACTAATTGAGTTTCTTTTTTCCAGGTGATATAGATAAGACATTTAGCCATCTTCATGCCATTTTTCATAAGAATCACTGAAAACCCCTTTTTAGTTATTTAGCTAGAAAGAGAAAAGTTTAAAATCGTTTTGTGTCCGACCCACTGTCTTCCCAAATGAGTAATGGTGAGGAGGAAAAAACATTGCGGCCTTCAATAATGGTAGCAACGTTCATAATCTGGCTTCCACCTGCAAAGTTCATTCAAGAACCATGAAGAGAACGGTAAATAAGTTAAAAAAGTGGGAACAGTAGAGAGGAAAACTGGATCACGGGGTCACAACAGGAAGAAAGATCATCGTTTCAAGTTAAATCTAAAGAGATCAATTAGAAAAGATACGACTTAATTCATAATTTTTTTTTTAGAATACGTGAGAGAGGGGTTTATATTGGCAATCCAAAGAGCAGTGAAAATTTAAATGAAAATGAAATCATTATGAGACTACTGTTTTCTTGTTACTTTTGGACAGAAAATTAGAAGTTTAGAGATTTCGAAGATTATCTTTAATATATTTAATTTCTGATCCTGAAATTATACAATTTAACACACTCACAATACAAGATAAATAGGCAAACACACACACACAAACACATATATATATATATATATATGTGTGTGTCTCTGTGTGTTTTAGAAATATCTTTTGATGATACATAAACTTTATATGACAGAACAATGTTTTAACAAATGAATGACTAAAAGTTACATCCTAAATATACATAAATGTGTCAAGTCGTTCTGTAAACTATAAATAGACTTGGTATGGTTAACGACGGCAAATCAAAATGACGACTGTTCATAAGATGAAACAGATTTCGGAGCTTTGTTGAATTCAAATCCACTTATATATTTGTTTACTTTCCTTTTAATCGCTTTTATTATAAAGTCTTGTCTTTGTAATCTCTCCTAAACCCTATTCAGCCAGTCATTAACGTAAACTCGTTAGGTAGGTCATACTCTGCGTTCATCTGTCCCGCTTACCTTTAATCTGTCCTGTGAGACTCAAGATTTCTAAGCACACTTTCCTATTTATGTGCCCTAGAAATGCCAACGCTATCTGTCAACCACATGAAGAAGGTCGGATAAACAACGGCATGAAAACAAGTAATAAATATGATGATAAAGGTGAAACAATAATCCCAATAATGTAAATTATATACATAATATATCATGATAAAATATCGACAGATACTGAAGGGAAAAAAAGTTGTAATAAATATGGTGACAAAGATGAGGATGAATAGTCCGAATAATTTAAATTTGTACATAATACATCATTTCATGAAATATATATATATATATAATAAAGGCCAAAACATTGTAATAAATATGGCGACAAAGATGAGGACAATAGTCCGAATAATGTAAATAGTGTACATAATATCTCATCTCATGTATATATACAGATACTGAAGGGTTGAAACGTTGTAATAAATATGGCGACAAAAAGATGAATTCAATAGTCCGAATGATATAAACAATGTTCATAATACGTCATGTCAGAAATATAGACAGATATATATAGAAATTATATCAATAAATTGTAGCTTTTTTTCTTTTTTTAAATGTTTTATCGTTTCTCAGCTATTCTGTCCATGGTATTCTCAAGATCCTTTTGTTTAACCACATGTCTGTTCTTCATCTGTAAGAACATTTTTCCATCATTCACTGCCATATAGAAGGAATGATGTAACAGTTCAGTACATTTTCTTTGTTTCTAACGAAATTCCGAAAATACTTAAATCATCAATCACGTCAAGGGAAGCACATGTTTTTGAAATATACACCCTTATGAATATTAATTGAATCAACCTCTTTAGTTTCTGTTATTTCACCATACCGTCAGTTTAAACCCACTGGATTGATAGGGTGTAATAGATTTCTATCTTTTCCTCAGATTAGGTTATTTGCAGTGGTGTGCAATAATATGAATCTATTTTTTGGGTGTATGATGTAATTTGTTAGGCTTTGAAAAATATTGCATCATCTGTGATTGCATTAGATTTTTATCACGCCCAGGTATTATTGTCTCGACTGCCGATTAGTTGTCTGCGATGGAAGTTACTTTAAGGAAGCATGCAAAAATTTTAACGCTGTTTTTTACAATTGGCAAATTTCACCATATGTCCAAATCAATGTTACTCGGAAACTCTCCTGATTTAAATTCAATCGAGAATCTGTGTTCATCATGCAAGAACGACTTTGTGGAATGAACACACGAATTGCTAACATATGCATTGGGTTATGTTTCATTGGAAATATACGAAAAAAGTAAGCAATAACGGAATTATTCATTTTGTTTCAATTTGCACATGGGCGTATGTATCTGAAATAAATCAGGAATGAATAACAGACATTGCCAATAATTTGCCTCACCGGGATTGTAGGTGCCACTAAGAAAATGATTCGTAATGTCATATTGAGGCAGTTATATTAAACACGCCACATACAATAGATACTTACTGCAATAAACAATGAAAAAGTAATAGAAATGTTAAGGATTTGATTGACAACCATGTTGGACACCATTTTGTTTTATTCATTGTTCACACTGTCAGAGACATTTATTATGTTCTTAGACACAGTTGAATGTATTAATGGCCGCTGTCTAGCACAAAAATAAATGAAAAATAAAGATTTTTAAGGCTCGAGCTGACGGCCATTTTGCACTAAGTCTTTAAAGCCATACGTTTTCCGACATTTTTGATGCTATCAAGCATTTATAATTCTGCAAAATATAAAAAACATTGAGAAACCTTGCTTGGAATAAATAATGAGTAATAACCATATTTAAGGATTTGATAGCCAATTTGGGCGCCATATTGAACAAAACACAAGTTGACAACATTTAAGATAGTATAATTCACTATAAGTTTTCTATTCTGAAAACATAGTTTACCTGCTTTTATTTCCGTATTGGACAGTTTTTTGGCTGAATCATTTTGGGATATTTAGTAGAAAAATAGTTAATGAGAAAAGAATTTAAACATGATTTCTGCAATTTTACCAATGAAAAAAAAAATGAACTCCGAGAACAGATAAATACTATAATCGGTGAAAATTTGACATTTCTATCTATCTATCTATCTATCTATCTATCTATCTATCTATCTATCTATCTATCGTTATCTTTCTCTCTCTCTCTCTATCTATCTAGTCTATTCACATCTATCGCTATCTTTCTCTCTCTCTCTATGTATCTAGTCTATTTATATCTATCGCTATCTTTCTCTCTCTCTATCCATCTATCTAGTTTATTCACATATATCGCTATCTCTCTCTCTCTCTCCCCCTCTCTCTCTCTCTCTATCTATCTATCTGTCTGTCTATTCACATCTATCGCTATCTCTCTTTCTCTATCCATCTATCTAGTTTATTCACATATATCGCTATCTCTCTCTCTCTCTCTATCTATTCACATCTATCACTATCTCTCTGTCTATCTGTCTATTCACATCTATCGCTATCTTCCTCTCTCTCTCTATATATATATATATATATATATATATATATAGTGTACTTTCACATCTATCGTTATCTTTCTCTCTCTCTATCTATATATCTATCTAGTCTCTTCCCATATATCGCTATCTTTATCTGTCGATTCACCTATCACTATCTTTATCTCTCTATATCTAGTCTATTCACATCTATCGCTATCTTTCTCTTTCTCTCTCTCCCTCTGTCTATCACTCTAGCACCTTAAAACGTGTCAACCGAAAATTAACTAATAAATATCTATTCCCATCGTAACCACTAAATAAAATGCGAACTAATCATCGTCTTCTATTTTTTAACATCAGAATTTGCCGTCCTTAGTATTTACACAAAATGAAATACATTGAAAACATTTTCAAGCCACTCCGAAAGCCTAACTATTTCATATTCAATGCGAAACAAAAGATTAATAAATTATTCTAAAATATTGTGGAATCGTGCATGGATTCCATCCTTTTGCGCGCACGCGCGTATTGCACCCCTTCCTTTCACTTTCGACTAGACATAGCAGTAAACCAGCCTCTTTCTTGACGACAAGGTTGCTGGCTGCTCCTGATACCGTCTAGAACGGAATTTGAAGTTTTCCCGCGCATTCTCTGACGTCACTGACAAACTTCGCTTTTCAAGTCAGTTCGATCTTTCCTCCGTTCACTACAAGAGAACGTAGAGTTTTTCTTCACTGAAGATTGATGAACATTTCATACACCTCTTTTGATTTCTAACCTTTACGAACCAGTTTAAAAAAAAGGTAACATTACACACACATTATTAAACCTCGCAGTGAGTATTTTTCCATGTTGTGTATGCTTACACCTTTTGTACAAGAAGACTATTTTCCAGAACTTTCATTCTGAAGAAACTTTTCCCGCCTTAGCCATTTTGATTTTTCGTTTTGGCGCGGGAGTTTAACATTCTACTAGTCACTACATAATACAAACTGCTTACTGGCTAAGAACAGTTCTTACCTTTTCTGATAGTCTCCACTGTTGAGACAAGATTATTTGTTATTCAAATAAAGTTCTATATTTGTCTTCCACCAGACTCGTTTTGTCGTTTCCTTCTGGCTATCTATATTCTACTATTTTTATGCATGTGTTAAATGACCTTTTTTCCTCACTAAAGATCTCACATTTAGTATTTTTACTTTGTTAGTGGATTCGGTAGTCGTAAGTAGTGTCTGGCACAAGGCCACCTTTTCGTAGGCCAGCACTGCATGCTACCGGGTCTGCTACAATATAAATGTGGTCCTCCTGACAAACCCTACGAATCAAAAAAATATATTGTTCTATCCACTAACTCTGTCAGAACTACAACTAAAAACATATTTTATCTGAACACTATATAAAATTTGTCACGACTTCATCTAAAACAATAAAACACTTAAATTAAAACAACAAGCCAAATATTGAAGGAGAAATTTACACTATTACCTGTAAAAATGCCAGTAAGAGTATACTGGAGAGACCTCAAAAAGTTTAAATGAAAGATTATATGAACACAATTGGTACATTTTAAAAACAACATATTAGTTGCTCACCTTAATGAGACGAACATCAATTTTGATATACAAAATTGCTACTCGAATTAAAAGAAAACCATTCACTAAAATAAAAATGTTTAGAAAATGCTTCAATTGTTAGTTCATCCACAATAAGTTTGCGTCCAGAATTTTACGTTTCACTTTCACTATTCTTAGCTCTTCTTGTGTTAGCATACTGTTGGCTATTTAATAACAAAGATGATGGAAAGAAAAAGAATTTAAATAACATTGACTGGATTATATAACCAAAACACATAGTTTGTGTGCATGTCTAGTCTCATCAACTTAAACGAACCTAGGCGGATGAAGTCCTAAAGAATGAAACGCGTCATACAAAAACTTTTAAACTTCGTCATAAATCTTTCCTCCAAAGTTGTTTTTGATATATATATATATATATATATATATATATATATATATTAAAAAAAAATTATAACATAAATACGTTATAAAATCACTACAAAAAGAGCCATTTTGTTTCAACACCCTCGGTGTCTTTTTTTTTTTAAAATAATTATATCTGCTCTACTTTGTATTGAGCACTCTTTTTACGAATAGTAATTGTTGCTTATTGAATTCATTCCATATACACCAATTATATACTTGGTTATATATATATATATATATATATATATATATATATATATATATATATATATATATATATGGTCGTACTCGTTTGGAAAACCTAGGGTAGCCTGACTTTGTAATAGAACAAATCGGTACCCAAGTAAAAAATTGCAAATAGAAAAAAAAAACATGAATATCAACACAATACGAAAAGAATCGTCAAGTGCTTAAACTCCAGGTCAAAAGAAAAACAAAAAACAAACCAGTTGAAAGATTAAAAACCGTAAGTAGAGCAAAAAATTGAATAAATCCTAAAAGAGCCAGACGAACCTACCTAGGTTTCACCTAAACGGATATTCAGGGTAAAACTATCCCAGTGGTGAAACCTAAACAATGTTTGCCTGACTCTTTTAGGATTAATCTCTCTCTCTCTCTCTCTCTCTCTCTCTATATATATATATATATATATATATATATATATATATATATATATATATATATTATTGTGGGGCTCGCCCGTTGTACACAAGATGGACACGTCCAAAGTATACTTAGACTGCGGAGAAATAGCGTGAGAAAAAGGTCGAGACAGGGTGTTCACCCAGAGATATACGAGAGTCCAGAAAGAGATAATTACGGCTTCACTTACAGAGACTTGTACATATACTTTTCTACTAACCCGCATTCCTGGACTACTAATCTTCATTTCAAGTTTGTATTCTTACGTTTAATACACATATTTTTCTGGCGTTGTTTATTTATTTGTTCAGGATTCCATCCCCGGAATCCACAATAATTATTATAGTAAGAAAAAATAACGTCAGATTTAAAAATGACTGAAAAGCATACTTTATTTACCTTAGTAGATATAAACCTCAGAATGTCCCAACGAGAGATGGACTGTCTTAAATAGGGTAACCCAGCTTTGTCTTTACTGTACTACATACAAACTTATATTTATGTATAATGCATATTTAGGCAGCAGCCTTTCGTTCAAACATGTTTCCGTTGATTGTCAGACAAGGAAATTTGTATTAATTTTTTATTTCTTTTTTCTAATATTACGTTCATCAGTTTGGTTGGGTAAAGGACGGTAAAAATCGTCCATAGTGTCTATTGTCCGAATCTCTTTCGGTGACTTCTTCTTTAGCCATTTTAAGAGGACTTTTTGTTATTTATTTCTTTTGATAGTTGTCTGTTCAAGGTGCACTTGCATGACAACTATTGTATTTAAAATACAATTGCGGCACAAGGCCAAAATGGGGAGGGGTTTAGGTTGGTCATCACTAACTATCTTATACCTAGCTAGTCTGATTCACGACCCATTCACACATTACAATTTCCACATTCACCATAAGAACTCGTCCGTCACCATTCAATCCTTCCTACACCATAATACCGCATCCTCTCAAGGGGAACCTAGAAAATGCGCCCCATGCCATAAAAATCAAATGATTGTAAAATATATACTTAAAAATTTATGAATGAATAGAATGAGAGGGAGAATGAACCCCCAAAACAAACTAAATATAAACACAAAGTAAACTAAACATAACTGATGCTAGTAGGGGTCGCCCAATCATCAAAGAAGATAGGCTGCCCATTTGGACAAAATCAAGAGGCTCTCTCGCTAAGGGAGTGGGAAAGGAGAAAAAAATATACGGACATGGGATATAAAAAGCTAACCCAGTCGAGATAATAAAAAGGGGGGCCAAAACAAACTGGGGACGTTGGGTATCTCAACTTGGATCATAACCAAAGATGCAGCCGGGAACAGGCCAGGAACAACACTTACTTGCATTAACTAGGTACACAAAAGCTTGTCTAACCTAACCGAGGGAAGGGCTCCGCAGGAAACCACCCCGATATGACGTAGGTTGACCTAAAAGAGAAAATCAAGGCTAGCCCCTTTCAAACGAACCAAGCTCGCCTCTTTCCCCCACCTTTCGTTGAAGATTGTCGAATGCAAGCGTTTTCTATCAGTTCTAATCTTCATCTTGAGCTGATGCTCAAAGGATCGGATTAGATCCTGATGAGAAAGATGATTGCCTCGCAAGACTTCCTCAATTCGCGTCGTCCAAATCACCATTCGGGCTGTGGCGTTAGAAACACCATTCGTTTCACCCCAGAATACGCGGGCAACACATTGTCATACGCGTATGCGCGATCAATGAGCACGAGATTTTAGGGAGCGAGATGTGCCGTCAACTCGCCGACATGATAACTATTTAGTGGTAGCGTTTATTACGATCTCCGGTAAAGTCACATGACTGGATTTATAAAGATTTTTAAAACAAATCTTTAAAACACTATTTCCGTTGCTAAATAAGGTGAGATTAATACCAGATGTGTTATGTAGAGGCCTTCTCTGATGGTAATATATATATATATTACATGAATCATTCACGCAAAAGATTAGTAAAAAAATAGATATAAAATACTCTTCACAAACAAAAACTCTTCACAAACAAAATTTTATAGTTGCATTAACCTACGAACCACTCGATGAATGTTATGATCCTTGTTTTTAATAACTACAAGTTGTATAATGTCTTTTTTTTAATCTGCTAGTACTTTCAACTGTACATACAGTCATCCTCAGGCATGGAAATTATTTTGCTTTTAGTAAATCCAGGTAGTAGCGGAGTCGAAAGATTAAATGTGAATCGAAATATGTTTTTTTTAGAAATCTGTTAGAAGAATCCACGATTTGAGTAAGGGATTGAGCAATGGAAAAATTTTAGGCCCTAATACCGGCAACATGAGTAACATTATAATGTTTAAGCCGCGTGTCGTGGTGAGAATTAAAGTCACCGCAAACAGATGCTCGCAGAATACAAGAAGAGGGAGTAACTGTTCTATACTATCAGAGATAATGTCTAACATATTGCAGTCCTGAGAAGAAGGGGAGCAATAAAGGAAAAGAGATAGCTAACAGTGTAATAATAACATAGATAAGTTGTCAAGAGGCAATTCCTCGCAATCGGAAGATTATCTCGGATGTAAACACCAAGGCCATGTAAATGTTGGAATTTTTTGGCAGAGGAAGATAGCCTGAAACAGAGAATTCATTAGCAGCAATGATTTGTGTTGTGGAG